TTACCTATGAGCACGCTACTCCTTCTGAATTCGGAGTTCTCCTCTCACGTGAGAGTTGAGTTCTCTGTTTTTCTCAGAGCACCTGGAACCAGCAGCATCAGGCGAACTAGGCCTTTCCTCTGCCTCTCTGTTGCGCTGAGTTTTTTGGCTAGCTTGCAGTACACTTACTCTTCTGATTCTAACAATCGCACTGTAGGTCGAGCCCCCCCTCTCGCTGAGAGCTGGGTTTGTGCTCCCTCAGCGAGTTGATGACTTCTCAAACATATGCGTTCTTTTCTAAAATCCTGTATGGTAAGAGCTACGCGCAGAAGCCTCGTGCTCTTTCTGAGTGGTTTAAAACCCAGGTTTCGCCTTGGGCACCACTCCACCTATTTATCCTCTGGATACCTACTTTAACAGGGTGTTGCTACTAGGGGTCTGTTGAGACAGTTCCTTTAGCATATGCAGAGCGTGCGGTAGGACACCCTTCTTAACAGTTAACATATTAGAAGTATAATTATCTACAGAAACACACTTTTGTGTTCACAGTTCTGTCCGATAAATAATTTTTAAACCAACTCAATGCCAAATTACCAAGGCCTATACCTTTAAGCCTCTGTAGCAGTAGAGCATTATCCACTAAGTCAAATGCTTTTGTCAAGTCGACAAATAAGGCGCCACGATGCTGCCTTTTATCAAGAGCAGTGATTAAATCATTTGTAACTAATGTAGTAGCTGTTGTCGTACTATGGCCTGCTCTGAATCCTGACTGAAATGCATTTAAAATATTATGTCTAACTAAGTGTTCTTTCAGTTGGTCAATTACCAGAGACTCAAACACTTTTGCTAAAACTGGTAGTCTAGAAATAGGATGATAATTATTCAAATCAGAGGGATCTCCACTCTTTAGTAATGGCATAACCATAGCGGATTTCCAAGACGGCGGAATTACATTGGTGTATAGACTCCTAATCAGTCTTAAACACTGATTTGTATAAATGTATAAATTACACTTTCCACATAGTTCACAAGGTAATTTTTTTTTTCAACAACTAGTCAGTGAAAAGACATGCTTAAACTTCAGACCATGTTGATTGTCAAAATAAAATTATGTGTTTCAATAGGGTATATGTCGAACGTCACCTCACCAAACCCAGAAAACAGGTCTCATCGCTTCAGCTTGTCGGAGAACGTGTTAACAGCTGTATTAAATAATAGCGATATCTATGGACTTTTAAGATAATCAGTTAAACTAGCTAGCCATTTTTATTGTTGACGTTTTATTCCATTTTTATATCTAAATGTTAGTGAAAAGAATAAAATAAATAAACATAAACGATAAGCATAAGCGATAAACATGATAATCAGAACCAAAACAGATGTTTTTAGCAGGTCCGTGCTGTAATGGCGCAGCTCTATTCTGGAAAAGGGAGCGGGGAGCAGCAGCTCATTTGCATTTAAAGAGACAGGCACGAAAAAACACCCTTATTCAACAGTTGTGTGAGTTATATGGCATTGCATGTGGTCGGACCACCCCAGTCCTAGTAGAAATGGTCAATGCAAGAGGTTTAACTGCACTATCTACTGCACACTCCTTCTTGCAAGATGAAAAATTGGGCTATACCAGTGAACCTCCATTTATGTTAATGTTTGGGCAAGATCCACTATTGCCAGTTAACTTTGTCATGGGCAGAATTGAGACCAGAATTGAGTCCACTAAATTTCTGATCATCAAGGCATGTATTATATTCAATACATACCAAGACCAGGATCATAACCTTTTTAATTTATAGGCACCCTTATGCTAAAATAGCAGAAGGTAGGCACTCATTAAACATGCATGGCCAGCATTATATGTACATATCCGTTCCATCAACAGGAAAAAGCAGGTGTGTGTTTACCACAGCACTGAAAAAGGCTTTAAAGACACTAATGATGTTAGTGACTTCTGACTCTGGTTCTTTTTTTACCCTCAGTGCCACTTTCGACACTGTTGATCACACTCTTTTATTCTCTCGTCAATTAAATTGTATTTGGTGTCCTAGCAACTGCTTTAATGTGGTTCAGATCCTATTTATCAGATTGTAGGCAGTTTGTCTCTCTGGGTGGATAGAGGTCTGAGATCGGGTCAGTTCATTTTGGTGTTCCTCAGGGTTCTTTTGATCCGCTTTTAAGATCACTCTTTCTTAATTACCATTTTGTATGCAGAAGACACTCAGATTTACATTAGTTTTACATCTGGTGACAATGAGGCTGTCACTTTTCTTTCACACGGTGAACACACACACACACACACACACACAAAAGCTCATCCTAATTCTGAAAAGGCCATATCCATGGAGTAGAAAAGAATTGTACCAGATTAAAAGACTGCTCTTTTCTTGCACAGATTATTGTTAAAATAAAAACCTACAAAAACCGGATCACATATAACCAATTAAAAACAAATAAAATCTCAAAAACTCAAGTAACACATTCAATACTTTTTATAGCAGACACAAGTAAATACAACTTATCAAAACAAATCTTTTATTTTCTTGCAAACGCACCTTGACTTTTTTAGGCTTTCTATCAGATGGAAGTATATGCCACTCATGAATTAAGCCATCTCACCTATTTAAATGAACAGAAGTGAAACAAAAAAATGTGCATCATGAAAATAATTAAATGTATTTGATATCCTTCGCCGGGATGAAATCATAAAATCTGGAATCTGAAGCTAAAAATTATGTCTGACATACATTGCTTGCATGCACTTGTCATACACTATTGCATTTCCAAAACGGCCTTGTGGGGTGTTCCTTGTTTGTAGTGTTTAGTACCTACCAAAAATGGTGCAAGGAAGTCGAGTCAAGTCACCTTTATTTGTATAGCGCTTTATACAATACTGGTTGTGTCAAAGCAGCTTTACAGTGTTAAACAGGAAAATAGTTTATCAGTAATGCAAGACAATATCAAAGAGTCATTTTTCAGCTAAAGTCAGTTCATTGATGATTCAGTCATCATCAGTTCAGCTCTCTTCAATAGTGTCTGTGCAATCAGTCAAGCGTCCCCAACTAAGCAAGCCAAAGGAACAAAAACTCCATCAGTGACAGAAATGGAGAAAAAACCTTGGGAGAAACCAGGCTCAGTCGGGGGGCCAGTTTTCCTCTGGACAGACCAAACCAGCATGGTGTGCTTTAATTCCAACCGGTGAACTGGCATCAGCTGAAAAATGTAATGCTGGCCTTGATAGAAAGGTGCCAGAACACACATCACAGTTTGCTGCGTATGGGGCTGCGTAACTACAGACCAGTCAGAGTCTACCCTTATGAAAAAGAAGTTTATTCAAGTGTGCTATTATTATACAACTTCTTTTAAACTAAATATAGGAAAGTATGCAAGGAAGAAACCAAAACAACAGACACTTCCACACGTAGGGTGCGTCTCAATCAGCTCCCTAGTTCAGTAGTCAGGGCACTTTAAGGGCAGTCTCAATTGCGAAATCCTTCCAGTGCACTGGAAGATTCACTCCCTGAAAAATCCCACAATGCACTGCAAAAACTAGGGAGCATCGGTGCTATGCCAGAGATTGTCTTACTATAGGGAGATGAGAGGGTCTGTATTACTTACTGTTGGAGAAAGCACAACGGTCAACTTGGATCACGTGTGCCTTAATAACCAATCACAGTACAGCCTTGCCGTCATTGAATTTCAGTCAGAGTTGTGCGACACGTAATCGCTGTTTACGGATAGCATAGGAATGAATGAGAGTGCCGTAAGCTGTATCCCACCTGTCGCAAAAAGTCTGTGACTTCTCTTATAAAACGGCATTTTTTTCGGTGTAAACTCTAAAAGTAGTTAAATCCAAAAGTACTGTTTAGTGTAAAACATGTTGGAGATTAGCTGATAGGCTGTCGATTCATTAAATGATAAGCTGTTTCCTCTAAAAAGCTGTTTATTCAGCGTAGTGAAGCCTCTCCTACATTGACATCCATTCAAAAGTAAAGACGGCCTCTGGTCTCCTTTCCCACGTACTGGCAAACCAGAAGCGTTAGCATTAGCCGTTACGCTTTTTTGGCTAAAGTTTGCAGGCTTGCCTTCTAGTGGCTTTGGCTATGCTCCCTTACCGGAAATTACATCACATTTCTGAAGCGTGAAACATAAACCACACGAGCCAACTCGATAAATATAATGACACGCGATAGAAGATTGAAAAGACAAACCGTTTTATTAGTATATTTCAGCATAAACACACATCACTATAGGTAATGAACACATCTAGTTAACATGTATCATTAATACTTGGCTGAAATGTTGTAAGAACATGTAACAGAAGGATGTGTTTAAAGTTAATCAAAAGTAATATAAAAAAGAGATTGGTCCTGCCTGTTGTTTATTAATTCCAGCAATGATGTTCTACAATGTTGTCCGTTGATGTTGTACGTAACTTGTCACCGGAAATTGAGTAATCACTGTCCCAATGTGCAGTGAGCCAGGGTACTTACCAGTGACCAAATTCATGTACACGATATACTGATTCACGAGCTAGGGAGCTGATTGAGACGCACCCTTAATTATTCCAAAGGCTTGACCGGTAGTGTACATTAAATGCTAAACTGAGCTGCTATTGCGTTTTTAGCAAAGCCCTTGACCGCATATTGCTTAGGGTACCTACCAGTGACCGAATTTGTGTACATGCTATACTGATTCACGAGTTCGGGAGCTGATTGAGACGCACCCGGTAATCATGATGATCAGACATAAAACAGCATCAAAACTGTGTAACGTTGTGGAATAAAATGTCGACCCATGAAGAGCTTTGGGGTGTTGATTGACTCCATCTACGTTTTGATTATCATTCTGAATCCAATTAATAATCTTTTTTCAGCTTTTTGTTCAAAATCTTGTTTATTTCATTATTTTTTTATTTATAAAACTTACCCACATTCAAGTGTTTAAAAAAAGTATTTTCTCATTCTGAATCCAATTCATAGTCTTTTTTCAGCTTTTTGTTCAAAATGTTGTTTATTTATTTCTTTATTTGTTTTTTTTTTTTATTTATGAAACTTACCCACATTCAAGTGTTTACAAAAAAGAATGCATGAAGCTAGAATAACATGTCATTGTTTACAAGCAGATACCCTGTTCTTTCTTTTGATGTGTGTATGTTCAGATATTCATATAACAACATACAGTATATACAAATTAATACCTAAATAGGGACATAGTAGTATACTTAAAGTATGATGTAAAGTTAACTTAAAGAAAACTTACCAGTATACTTGCAGTATAAAACTACTAAACTACTAGTTTACTGAGATTGTATTTCATTATATTATTTAATTAGTATAATTAATTATAGTATTTAATTAGTAAACTATCAGTATACCTATAAGTTCACTTTTAGTATAGTTGCAGTACAAACTAAAAACACAGATGTAAACTAGTTGTGTACTCAAAGTTTACTACTGTTATACTTAAAAGTATACTTTTATATACTAGAAAGTGGGCCAATTTAGTCCCAAGGAGTATTGAAATATATAGAGTATAGTAGAGTATACAACTAGTACACTGATATTTGTATACTTACTACATAAAGTATACTTAAAAATATACTTGAACTTTAGTTAAGTATACTTAATAAAATAAAGTTGAAGAATACTTCTTTTTGGTAAGGGTAATGATGACCCCTGTTCACTGACGAAAGAACCTACAATGGGCACATGAGCATCAGAACTGGACCATGGAGCAATGGAAGGAGCTCGCCAAGTCTGATGAATCACTTTTTCTTTTAGATCAAGTGTATGGTCAGGTGCATCTGTCGTCTACCTGAGGAAGAGACGGCACCAGGATGCATGATGGGAAGAGGCTCTGGGCAATGTTGTGTTGGGAAACCTTGGGTCCTGCCTTCATGTGGATGTTGCTTTGACCTGAACCACCTTCCTAAAGATTGTTGCAGACCCCCTCCTGTACACCTGTCAATGGTTTTCCCCAATTGCAGTGGCCTCTTTCAGCAGGATAATGCACCCTGCCACTGCAAAATGGTTTGAGGCACATGACAAAGAGTTCAACGTGTTGCCTTGGCCTCCAAATTAACCAGTTGATTGCTGGGCCATCAAATCCGATCCATGGATTTGTCCACCTCGCAGTTTGCAGGACTTGCAAAATCTGCTGATCATGTCTTGATGGCAGATGCAACAGCACACGTTTAGAGGTCTTGTGGAGTCCATGCTTCAATATGTAAGTGAAGTTGGCTCAGTAGTTGAGTTTCACTTCTTTATAATTCTTTTTCTGAGAATCTTTAATCAAAAGTCATATCTTGCTATGCAGTCTGACTCGCTTCTCTCTGTTGACGTATGCAAGGCCATGCTGCAGTTAAGCCAATCACTCTTAACTCTCTCTCTGCCACTATTTAATTTATATTTGCATTTATCCAGTGACTTATAAATGAGTTATATACATTTTGTCTTCTCAGCAAATAATATTAATAATATATTATATCAAACTGTAACATAAATAAGAGTTGTAGTAATAAGTCCTTTTTATGGTTGCTGAATAGTTAACATTTGAGGTTACACCAATCTGTACCTGCAAACATTCCACAGGTGTTTGCACCACTCTTGCACATCTATGCTCTACGCCATGGACATGTTTTTAAGACTTGCTGCCAGATTAGACAGATAGAAATCTCATCAGCTTTGCTCAAGACAGCCCAAGCTGAGTTGCATGACATTAATGTGAACTGTGACAGATGTAACATTCATCTTGTACATCCCTAAGTCACTGCATGCACAGCTCTGTTTATACTGTCAACTAAATGTTACTTATAGCTGAACATATAGTTTTAATATTCATTATGATTGAATATTTTCTGAATTTACACAAATTAACTTTGAACAAGGTAATTCTGTACAGTAACAGTCATTCTGTAACACTCATTATTTTGTATTGTGGAATATACAGTGCAAAAGTAGTCAAATCCCTTTATTTTTTCCACATTTTGTTATGTTGCGACCTTATGTTAAAACATAATTTATGTTTTTTTCCATATCAATCTATACTTCATACATCATAATGACAATTAGTATTTGGACACTTGGAATTGAGGTCCATCAGATCAGAGAATTTTTTTTCCTTCCAAATATCTTTTTTTTTTCTTATTGATTTTTGCTCTGATATGCGTTTTCAGCTGTTAGACCTCATATAGACAGGTGTGTGCCTTTCCAAATCATGTCCAGTCAATTGAATTTGTCACAGATTAACTACAAAGTGTAGAAATATCTCAAAGATGCTCATGAGCTACATTTCAAGTGTCACAGATGAATACTTATGCAATTATTAAATTTTTTTTGCTTTGTCGTTATGGTGTATGAAGTGTAGATTGATGTGGAAGAAATTTAAAGCAGGTTAACATAAGGCTGCGACACAACAGAATGTAAAAAAAATGAATACTTTTGCAAGGCACTGTATTTTATGTTGTGCTTCTTTAAGGCAGCACTAGAAAAAACTTCAATCGTACAATTAACACAGCAAAAGAAGACATACAATGATAGAAAAGGGTATTTAACTTAATTTTATTAAAATAATTGATTAACAGTATATATTCAATATAGAGTCAATTACACCTTCAAAATACTTGACATCACAAAATAGAGCTCAAATTGTGTAAAACTATTTCGCATCTTACTAATGAACAGCATTCAATGACAGCTCAATACTAAATCATGAAGCTAATCTTGTGTATATAATATTCAAACATCATTGAGGGCAACATCTTTTCAGACACATAAAACTGCAGGATCCTTTACTCTTATAATCTTGTTATAATCAAAATGCATCTGTCACTGGCCTGCAAACACAGGAAACAAACTTCATTTCTGAGATCAACATCAGCTATGAATGGAGCTCTCCGGTTCCCTTCTTATTCTGGTTTGCAACTCTTGCACAGTTTCAGTCCCAAATTCTTTTAATGACATTGTAGCAGCACAAGGCAATAGTACTTGGCTTCTAGAAGACGGGCAGCTTCATGGAGGTGAGTGTGAAGGAGCTGATGTCTTCACTCTGTGATGCTCTGTGCAGCGAGGGTTCAGAGGCGCTGCGGTTGATTTTGGGCAGCGAATGCTGCAGCAGCTCAATGGAGGACAGAATCTGTCCAGAGAGAGAGAGAAAGCAGTGTGTGTTATTACCTGCATCTGCATGGTTCTCAAAAAACTGTTCATTTAATTACATTTTTCTGTTGCCAAACAAAATCAATCATTCAACAGCGCTGTGATAAACCGTGTTAATGCACGGCGGTAAAAAGCCACCCGATGTGAAACTCAAATTTGACATGACAGATAAAAGTTCATTTATTGGTAGTTGCTTCATCTAAGGGTACTGGGATGTAGAATTCTAAACAGAAATAAAGTAGTTTGGAAATATTACATTGGTTGGAATGATTTTAAAGTGTCTCTATTATGCCAACACCTCTCACTGATCTCTTTCCTGTGGCATTAAAAAGGAAAGCCTCTGTTGTTGTGGGAGACTCTTCTCATCCCCTGTTCAGTTACTTCCCTCCGGCAGACGGTATAAAGTGCCTTTAGTGAAAAGGGCCAAGTATAAGAAGACCTTTATCCCAACTGCGATGAGCATTTTAAATAGGATCTTAAAATGAATGTTTTATGTATTATTATGGTTTGTGAAGTGATGTATGTAATGTTAAGTGCTGTTGTGATGATTATTTGTATTGGTTGTGTGTTGAGCCTTTTGTCTAAAGACAATACTCTACCCCATTTGGGATAGACAATAAAGCTTTTGAAGTTGAAAACTGAAATAAAGTTGTAAAGCCGAAAGTGCACAATAAATAAAGTTAGATTCAGTGTTCCTATTATTACACTCTAAAAATGCTGGGTTAAATACAACCCAGTGCTGGGTAAATAAAGTTAAAGTGCACAATAAATAAAGTTAGATTCAGTGTTCCTATTATTACACTCTAAAAATGCTGAAAATGCTGG